TTTTTGCCTGTCGCTACCACCCACGTGCAAACAGTTGACCTTCGGTCGAATATTAAAAACACATGGACAAACGGGAGCAGTTTCCGTAGACAATGTGATTAAATTCCTGCCGGTCCGGTTCACGTTTCTCATGTCATTTTTCTCAGCTAATGCGAGAGAGAGAGAGGAAGATCTAGGATAACGGGGGACCGAGAGGGGGGGGGGAATGGTGATATGGCAACACGAATTTCATGCACCATCTCTTGTTCTGTGATAATATGCAGTGAAGTTGCAATAAATGAATAAATAAATGAATTTTCCAATTCCTGGCTTGCGCAAAAATGAGAGAGGCCACTGATCGTTTGATTCAGACTGCATCTGTATCAGCTCTGGATTTGTCGATTTGTCGCAATCGGTTGGTCTGTGCTTTGGTTCGGGCGGGTGAGCGCTTGCGCGCGAGAAAGAGAGAAAATTGCATTACTGTGTTCATCCTCACTAAACGAATAAACGACGGCCATATAAAAACAAAAATATATACTAGTTGCACATGGAGAAGTGATATGTGCAAATGTGAACCTATGATTGTACATGCCATGCTTATATTACCATTGAAATTAACTATGCCCTTGCGCAATGATGAGCAGTGGTGGTGGTGGTGGTGGTGGTGGTGTAGGGATACAAACCACTAAATCATCGCCCCCGGAGGATGTTTTCTTCTCCCAGTAAAACCGTTTGACTTTCTCCCTTACCTGTGAGTTGCACGGCAGCCCTTTGATTGGTCGCTTCCCCTTCTGGAAAGTTATATCATTATATATTCAATGAAACTGAACTAAAATAAAAGATAAAACAATTAAAAGCGGCTTCAAAGGAGTGGTCATGACTTGTGTAGATTGGTCATATACATATGTAAAACACATGACCGATCGAACTCAATTTCGATGAGAATTTCCCTCAAATTTTCTAAAAATAACTTATTGAGCTGTGTTCGGATCAACTGAAGTTCGGAAATTGCTTTGTTATGCCATCTGATACCGATTCAGCTGTTGAATATCCGACAAAAATGGCGGCACGTATAAATACACCAGGTTTACGGAGCTAACTGAAAACTGTGAACAAATCACACCGTTTACGGTTCGGGTGGCATAATTCACGAGTAAGTTAAACAACTCTGGAAGTGTAATATACTTTTACGCGTGCTTGAACGTGTTTGCAGATGGGGCGAGTAGAAGAGATTGAAATACATTTAGATGCACGCTGAGTTGAGTGAGTGACAGGAGTCAGACAGTATTTTGTCCAACGCGGTCAGCCCTGAACCCATCATGATTAACGATTTGGGTGAAGCAGAACTAAGAACCGGCAAACACGTCATTGTTGCTGTTTTTTGGTTCATTATTTGCCTCCGTTTGGTTCAACTTTGGGTTTGGCGTTTCAATCACTACTCGGTGGGTGTGAATGCAATTCGTCCGGGAAAACTAGCGCAACTGGTTTCACTCACCCCATCCGCATCATCTTTCTCTCTCTCTCTCTCTCTCTCGTTCTTTGATTGTGATTGGTCAGTCCAACCTTGATTCAACAAATATGAGAAATCACATTCTCGGGAATTAGGAGTCATTCAGCTGAACAAAATAGATCATTACAGTATAAAGTATTAAGACCAAGATTAATAATAATAATAATAATAATAATAATAATAATAATAATAAGATAGGTGAGTACTGGTGAAGTGAGAAGCTGGACAGCAGTGACGGTCCGTCTCATCCGAGTCTGACTAGGTCGATTGTGGCCCGGTGGGAACAACACGTGGTTGCGGATCCAAAAGAGATTAGGTTAGATAGAACCGCGGCATATTGTACAAACCGATGGATAGACTCCTTGATCTGAATTAACCTGATGCCATCGAGTACAGTGAAAAAATGTCCATTTATCTGGCATAAACTGGATGCATGTATTTCGTTTCCTGAAGGTCTTTCCGGGTGCTTCTTTTATAAACATCTTTACAAAGTTTGGGAACTTATCATTCGATTTAAATGTGAATTGTTTATTAACGAAAACGACAACTGTTACTTACGTTATTTGTTCACCATTTTCATTCTATCTCCATAAAAATAGTACTTGTCTTCATTGTTTAGTATAATTTTGAGGGAATATGCCCGGTACTTATTCTGACTCCGCTCATTTATGTAAGATGATGAAACTAATCGAATAGTTGGCAAATTCCTTTCGCAATTCATTCGCCACACACACACACACACACACACACACACACGATGTCCGTTCTTGCATGTGCAGAGGCACTTTACCGTTTGGTGAAATTCGATCCGCGCCAGTCTGATCGGACATGCCATGAGATCTCGAGAGTGACAGCAGACGCAAGGCGTATCCCAAGTTTTGACAGCTAGGCATACACACACACACACACACACACACACACACTACGTACGTGGAACTACGTGCGCACGTGCGCGCGTGCCCGTATATGTTCACCCGAGCGTGTTGTGCTTGTGATCGATTGGGCAGGCGAACAATTGACAGATAAGCTAACTGGATCGATCCGTCGACCAGATCCGATGTGAAACAAGATAGGCATTCTATGGTCGTTACGATTGATTGATGTTCGCCTATAACTATAGTCACAACCATCATTATGTAGTCTATGAATCGGAAAACGTAAATCAATATCCTGGACCAAGTGGAGGGAAACTATCCATTCGTTTCAAACATCATACAGGCAGTCAGCGATTGTCAATTCATCTGAAAGAAACCATTTGCGTTTCAGAACACTTGTCGTGTGAAAATGAATTTATTTTCACGGGTTTGCTTCGAGTTAGAATAAAAAAATGATTGAAATACACATTTTGTAATGGGAGTCTAAGAAACAGTCTGTTAAGTGAGTAAAAATGAACCGGATTTACGTGATGGCATGTC